TGGATTTGCTGTGCTAAATTGCCCGTAGTGCCCAGGGATGTGCAGATTAGGGTGGATTGGCTGTGCTAAATTGCCCGTAGTGCCCAGGGATGTGCAGGTTTGGTGGATGAGCCATGGGAAATGCAGGGTTACAGGGATAGGGATGGGGGGGACGGGTTTCGGTCTGGGTGGGATGCTATTTGGAAGGTCAGTGTGGACATGATGGGCCAACTGGCCTGCTTCCACACTGTAGGGAATTCTATGATCCTATGACTGTGGAAATTTAGAGCAATGGACTGGGGAGAGACCTCAACCAAATGCGAGGATTTTGAACGAAGTGCATTTCAAGGCAGTGAGGTGGGAGTGGGGGCTGGGCCACGGCTGCAATTTGGGGCACGTTTGAGTCACAGAGTTTGCCCGTTCTCCCCTTCGTCTGCGTGGGTTTCCTCCGGGTGCTCCGGTTTCCTCCCACAGTCCAAAGATGTGCAGGTTAGGGTGGATTGGCCATGGGAAACTGGGGTGGGGGAGTAGGGTAGATGCTGTTCGGAGGTCAGTGCAGACTAGACGGGATGAATGGCCTTCTTCCGCACTGTTGGGAGTCTGCAACTTGTGAATGTGGGTGATGTCGAACTTGATACATGCCTCCTCCTGACCCAGCCGTGTTCCCCTCCCCCCTGCGTTTCAGTTCAGCATCTCCTTTAATGACGGTGAGCTGGAGTCCACCTTCGAGTACCCGTCCGAACTGGCACTGCTGTCTGAGCTCGGCCTGGAGCGGGAGGACAGCGAGGAGGCGGTGACCGCAGTCAAGCCCCGGGCCCGAGATCCCGCCGAGGACGAGGACGAGGAGGAGGTGGAGGAGGGGTCCCTGGCGCGGCGCCTCGGCGTCGACAAAACGTCGTCAGTGGGCACGGCCCTCCACAGGAGACGGCTGCTCGTCGGTACGTCACCCCCTCGTTCGCCCCGGTCGGGGGGAGCCGAGGCGCTGTTTGTGGGGGGAGCGTGGGGGAAGATTTAGGGGGTGTGGCTGAGGGGGATGAGAATGGCACTGTGGGGGAAGGAGGGGGAGGGAGAGTGGGCGTCTTGGGATTGGAGTGTGTTGGCTGAGGGAAATGGGAGTGTGTGAGGGAGGGGTTGGGGTGTGTGGGTGTATGTGGAGGGGGGCAGAGAGTGTGTGGGAGGGAGCATGGGGGGGTGTGTATGGGGAGGGGAGAGTGTGTGTATGGGGAGGGGGAGAGCGTGTGTATGGGGAGGGGGAGGGGTGCGTGTGGGAGGGAGCGTGGGGCGTGTGTAGGAGGGAGGGTGAGAGTGTGTGTATGGGGAGGGGGAGCGTAGGGGGTGTGTGGGAGGGAGGGGGAGGGGTTGTGTGGGAGGGAAGGGGAGGGCGTGTGTGGGAGGGAGGGGGATAGTGTGTGTATGGGGAGGGGGAGAGTGTGTGTATGGTGAGGGGGCGTGGGAGGTGTGTGGGAGAGAGGGGGAGAGTGTGTGTATTGGAAGGCGGAGCATGGGGTGTGTGTGGGAGGGAGGGGGAGAGAGTATATGGGGAGGGGATGTGGGCGATGTGTGGGAGGGAGCGTGGGGGCTGTGTGGGAGGGAGGGGGAGAGTGTGTGTATGTGGAGGGGGGCAGGGTATGTGTGGGAGGGAGCATGCAGGGCGTGTGTGGGGGGCGGGGAGAGTGTGTGTATGGGGAAGGGACGGGGAGTATGTGGGAGGGAGCATGTGGGGCATGTGTGGGAGGGAGGGGGAGAGTGTGTGTATGGGGAAGGGACAGGGAGTGTGTGGGAGGGAGCATGTGGGGCATGTGTGGGAGGGAGGGGGAGAGTG